AGTGGAGGATGTGCGGGGTTGGCGGCCGCGTCTCAGGGTCGGTGGGGGTGGGGCGGGCGGGGCAGCCGCGGCCGCAGCCGGGGCGCGATAGCAGACACAACAGGCGCTTCCACGCGACACGAAACAATGCCGTCCAATCCCGTCCCTCTCTTCCCCCCTTTCCCGGTTTTGTGTGTGTTTTTTATCACTTTTTTTTTCGTTTTCTTCCCCAACCTGCCGTGGAACCGCCGCGCGCGCCTGCGCGCTGCGGCGCGGCCGCCGAAACTGAGAAATTTTTCCCCTCATACCTTTCCTAATATTTAAATATGACTGTTTCAATGGGTCGACGCTGCGCCTTGCACGACGCAACGGCCTCCCGGTATTCGTCCAAGGCGGCTCTTGAAACCTTGCGGTTGTTCTCGGTATTGGCAAAGTCAAAATTGTTGGCTATTATAGCCGGCGGGGCCCGAATGAGATGGCAGAGGTGCGTCTGATACGCGTTGCTGCGGTAATAGAGCTCATTGACGCGATACATCGCGAAGACCACGGTGCCGAGAACCAAAATATCCCCCACAACGGTATACTCACGTGTTTCGTCAGCAATGCTTTCCCGACGACTAAACTTATGGTACCAGTCCGCTTTGAATGGAAGTTTTACCGGCCACGGCCACCCGCCATAGGTGTCGCTCCCGATTCGTCGTAAACACGTGCGAGAAAACATTGCCTACGATTCCCGCGACGAGAAATCGAGAAGGACGAGAGAAGTCAGGTGAATAAACGATGTGGATTCCCTAGATGGGCCGCGAGCTGATCAAGCTGCGGGCCAATTGCGCTACAGGAAAACAAATAGAGAGAGGAAGTAAGGAACACGCGAACGAAGAAACGAACATGCAGAGGAGGTCCAAAACCCAAGCGAAAAAGGAAGAAGAAAAAAAAAAGCGGCAAGGGGAAGAGGAGTGTTTACCTGAAATGCTCCAATATATCAATAAAGGGAGCTCAGAACGCACATATGCACGCAACGCCAACAAAGAAGTCTCCCACCTGTATCGATTTTTTTTTCATCTTCTTTTCCTTCTTCCCCGCTCAGCGGAATGCGTCTCCTCTCTTCCGCTCCTTCTAAAAAGCGGGGAAAGGGGGAAGGGGAGCAGAGGTCGACACACATAACCCGCACGACAAACTCTCGTGCGTAACCACCCATCAAGGAGAGAGCTGGGACGTTTCATGGAATTGAAGACGGAGGAAAGAACAGACACGTTTCTCTCTTTTCCTCTGCGCCGATGGAGAGATCACCCCATTTCTACCCGGCTTTCCCTTTTTTTTATTTTTTATTTTTATTTTTTTTTGCTTCGTATTGGGTTTCGCGTCTCCGTTCTTCGCTTCCCGCCATAAACCCCCCCCCCCCCCACGCTGCTTTCACTTTTTTTTTTCTTTTGCTTTTCTTCGCTGCAGCGTCACCTTGCACGACTCTGATGCGACACAACTTTTCTACTCTCCCTCTCTCCTCCTGCTTCAAAAGGCCACGCCATTGATCATAGCTCCTATGGTTTGGTTCAAATTGGCGTTGATGAGTCCCTCCGCCTCCAGCTGTAGGTGGATGATGGGATTCATGCGGCCAATGTTTCCTACGTCGTCCTCGTCAAGGCCTTGGGCAATAAACCGCTCCGACTGCTCCGCAAGCGACGTCAATGTACGGATCTTTTCCCGTATTGTCTGTCGGTCAAATTTCTCCATATTTTCAAGGCGGAAACCCTCTTGCCAGCCCTTCTTGTAGACATTCAACAACAACGCCAACTCATGGTTCTTCTTCCGGAACGTGATGGGAAGGCTATAGTAGTCACGATCAAGGCCACGGGTCAACGCAATAGGCGACGGCCGGGTCAGCCAGCCGAGGTTGCTTGTGGTTTGGCGCGGCTCCTCATACACGTTGCGCCCTCCCATAATGGCATCTTTTGTGGTGCGAAACGCATCAATCACAACTTTGCCACGCACAGACTGAATGGGGTCAATCACGACCGAGACACTGCGCGGGGTCAGCTGCTCGTAGTTGCCCGCCGTCATCACATCCTCCCCAGAGAGCCAGCATCCAAAGCCTGGGTGACTGTGGTACCACCCGACAACCTTTTCGGAGCGGCCCACAACGGAGAGCTTGTCTAGCATCTGCACCTGGTACTCCGGGTCCACCGCCTCGACGGACTGGCCAGTGGCCGTCTGCGGCATCGAAAATACATCCGTGACGCGGATGGTGTAGTTGTCAACCTGCTCCCCAATCATGAGCCCCATCACCTCCAGCGGCACCCCAGCCCTACCGTGGAGGAGCATCTTTAGCAGCGCAAGGGAGGAGATCTGAACGGTTTCAGCCGTGTCACGCAAATCCTCTGTCGGGGCGGCGCGTGCGTTCCCGCCTCCCGTCTGGGCCCGGAGCATGTTGACAATATTGTTCATCCTCCTTTCCCTAGTTATGACAGTTTCCTTGCCGCTGTTGGTGCTCCTTCTTTTCTTTTTGTTAGTTTTCCTTCTTCCCCCTTGCGGTAAAGCCAGAAGAAGCAAACAAAAACGACAACAGCCGCCACAGCAGCATCCGACACTCCGCGTGCGCCCCGCAGAGGCTCAGAAGAAATGTCCCTCAAAAATATTCAGTCATGTCGCATCTAGTCAAACCAACAGCCCTCTTTGTTGTTGTTGTTGTTGTTGTTGTTGTTGTGTGTATGCTGTTGTTTGCTTCCTTCTTGCCTGTGTTTTTTTTGCATTGGGCGATTCTTTGGCACACACAAATATACACTGCAAGAGGCGCCTCCCCTCTCTCACT